GAAACAAACTGAGGGTTGCTGGAGGGGAGGGGGGTGGGGGGATGGAGTGGCTGGGTGATGGCCAGTGGGGAGGGTATGTGCTGTGAATTGTGTAAGACTGATGAATCACAGGCCTGTACCCCTGAAACAAATAATACATTGTATGTTAATTTTTTAAAAAAGACAAAAAAAATAACAAAAAAAAAAAAAGAGGAAAAGTGGCTGTTGAATTTCCTCACACGTGTGCTGATCCATGGCTGGCCTGTCTTGTCTACGAGTTCAAGTTGGGATCAGCCTTGGCCAGGCAGAGCTGAGGGGCTTGCTTTCGCATGGGCAACAACATCGGCTTCTTCTGACCCTGAATATTGCCTCATCCATGTTGCCTTTCATGTGTGTATCTGGGAGTCCTGTCTGCACAGAGTTCTGTTACAGCCCCATGTATCACCATGCTGTTTTCCACAAGCCTATGTGATCTGTGAAGGGGTATTTCCCTGGATGGTGAGACAGGGGGGAGGGGTATCCTGGAACGCAGTATTAATTGAGCCCGGTGTTCTCTATCTTGGGAGAGTGCTCCTTGCCGTGGGTTTTTGGTGGGGCCACGTCTATAATCTTTACATCAGGCTCCACCTGCCTTAATATAGGGTGTCCACGTGAGGATTGTTTAGTCAGATTACTATTTCTCAAGAGTAAGACGGTGATAAGAGAGATGGCAGGTTTCTCACCAGCTTGATTTTTCTTGCTTCCCTCCTTCCCCAGAGATGATCTGGTCTAGAGACCGGGACTAGTTGAAGGATTTGCTTTTCCCCATCCCTGAGGCCCTTTTTGCCTTGGAAACTCCATGGCTTTAGGAAATGCATGCTTAGGACTGATCCTACCCCTGCTGGAATTCTAGGGTTTCCTACATGAGCAAGTTGAGCCAATGAGTATTATGTACTCAGGGGAAGTCGTAGGAGGTGTCCCTTGTGCACAGGGGACTTTCATGGCCTTGCCTTAGAGGGAGAATAGCACGCTTGAAGACCTCTCGAGTCCCGTGGGGGGGAAGGGGCCTGTTGATGCTGTGCATTTAGGTGCAGACGAGTGGGGCCCAGAGAGTTAGAAAAGGCTTCCTAAAAGAAATTGGGCCTGCTTTGGCCTTGGAAGACAGCACGTTTGGAAGGTGGCAAAGAACAGAGGCAGGAAGATACTGACATTGGCCGAGGAGAAGGGTGCTTTTGCATCCTGGCATTGTGGGCCATGGCTGAAGATGCTGGGTGCCCACATCTGAGGATGTCCCCTCAGTGGGTGCTGAGTTGCTCTTTTACTGGAGAGCCAAATAATGTATTAGTAGCATGTTACTTTGAACCTACAGTCAGGATCCAGAACAGAAATGAAAAAGACTTTAGGCTTTGGGTTGATGTAGACCTCAGACTCCCATGCCACAGCGGGTGTCACTTAGCTGGAGCAGAGTTCTTCACTTGGGTCCCTCAAAGCTCTTTTCCCTGTTTATACCCAAGCTGGGAGTGTATGAGAACAGAGGCAGGTAGGTCAACGGCCCCTGGGAAGGACTCTGATGGCCATAGTCAGGGGGAATGTGGAAAGGATGTGGAGAAACAGCCGAGTGCTCAGACTGCCCTGCTGCACGGGACAGGTGGCCTTTGTTTCCCATGGGGACCGACATCTTCACTGGGCTGCCTGTGTGGTACAGCTCAGAATTAATGCGTGAAACATTCGTCCTGAGTCACCAACAAGGCTTCAGTCATGTATAGCTTACTCTCTTTAAAAACGTGAAAAAAGGCATATTGGATTTTAATCCAAATTTCACAACCTTTTTTTTTTTTAAGCTGGGTACTTCAGTTACGCGTTGTTTTCTGTTGCGTGGAGCTTCTCATGGCCTGTGGGTGTTGTGCAGATGGTTTTTCGTAGGTGAGGGCTTGCAGCCCTCTTAGAGGCATTTCTAAACTTCCCGGGAGAGTCCCTCAGCTCCTGCATTAGTTTGTCAGCCGGGGGGTGGGGGGACTGGCCAGGTGACCATGGCTGCTTCTGGGAAGTTCCTGTGTCCTTGGGGAGAGGACAGTGCTGGAGGAAGCGAGCACTGCCTGGCTTTTCCCCCTTGTTCAGTCCCCCTGAGCGAAGGCTCTCGAAGGCTGTGAGATGCACACACGTAGCATCGGCAGACCCTGCCGCATCTTCCCTGCCCCCTCCCTGAGCACTCCCTGGGACCACCGGGGCTTTGGCACAAGTGGGCTTCGAGGGGGGCTGCGGACTTGCCCCAGTGTGGAGAGCGTCTGCCTGCGGCCTGTGCTGGAAGGGGGCTGGGTGTGGGGTGTGCACCCGGCAAGGAAGGCCTGCCAGAGCTGGGCGTGGGCAGACACCCTGTGTCCAGACAGCACAGTGCATTGTCTGTGGTTTTGGGGTGGAGAGGTTGGGAAATAGGGCCACCGGGCTCCCATTCAGCTCTCCCTCACCTGCCTAGCAGGCCCTAGCTAAGCTACTGGGATCCCCTGGGCTCCTTTTTGCGGCCTGGCTGAATGGAAGAGCCAGACCCAGCAACCACAAGAGGGTTTGCTTTGAAGACGGGCCTGAGAATAACCTCTGAGGTGCCTTTGAATTTTTAAATTTTGATCCGGGAAATCATTCTCTGCTGGAATCCAGGAGCCGAGAGGTGTTTTCATGTCCATATGGGAGTGTGGGAGGAAATATTTGCACCCCAGCATGTCTGTTGTGCATGAACTGGGACATTTCAGTGTGGCGGGGCGTCTTATCTCCCCAGGCCCAGAGCCTCCAGGGCGGCATGGGGCGGGAGGTGGGATGGGTGCTTACGAGGGCGAGTTTTTGTGTGTGCGCACGTGTGTCGTCGGGCCTGGAAAGTCTCTGGATAGAAGGGGACGGTGGAGAAGAAGTGCTTGCCCCACTTTGGAAAATACCAGAGTCAGAGGTCAAGGAGGAGACTGCTGATTGGAAGCCACTGGGCAGACTTGCACGGAAATGAAGGCTCTCGAAGGCCGTGAGACGCGCCCACGTAGCATCGGCAGCCCCTGCCCCATCTTCCTGCCCCCTCCCTGAGCACTCGCCGGGGCCACCGGGGCTTTGGCACCGGCGGGCTTCGAGGGGGCCCGCAGACTTGCCCCAGTGTGGAGAGCGTCTGTCTGCAGCCGAGGGGACTTCGGCACAAAGACCTGTGCCACAAAACGTCAACTCAGGGAGCACTTCCCTTGCTCGGGGGGCTGCTCTTGCCCCCGCCCAAGTCTGGGCGTTCTGAAGCTCTTCTGTATGCTCCCCCAGCCCATGCGTATTCCAGTTAGCTGCGGTGGAGCTTGGGGTTTCTGTCCGCCTGGCTCAGGAGCAGCTCCTTGCACTCCCAGGGCTGGGCGGATGGGGGCGCTCCAGTGTGGGAGTGTTGACAGGTGAGTAACTGAATGACGAGGGCTTTCAAAATGTGGGTTTGCTCTTAGGACTCTTCTACTTCCATCATACAGGATTAGCCTTGCCAGATTCCCCCCGCCTCCTGTGAGTGTACGTATCGAGGTTGATACTCAGCAGCAACTGAGCGCAGATCATGGATTGAGGCACTGTTGGGATATAAGTGAGAAAGCTGGGCCATGACTCTGCTCTCAAGGAGGTTAGCTGATTGACTTCTAGATCGTGTTTAGACTTCGTGCTAAACAAGGGGAGTTGAGCAGTTGGTTGACAGAGTGTCCCGCTGATAAGTTAGAGGCTGCGTTGTCTTGGTGTGAAGTGAGAATCCCTGAGCCATGGGGAGAGTTACAGTGGTCATCCAGGCACAGAGGGCAGCCCTGTCCTGGCTCCCAGACTGTTGTAAGTAATCCTTGTCACCGCACCCACTTAGCAGGGGTTGGGAAGAATATAAAGGGCAAGATAAAAAGAAATTTGTGGGGCCGGTGTCGGTACATACACTGTCCCATAGCGGCCACCCATCGCAGGGAAAGAGCCCAGGTTGGAGGCTTGTAACTCCAGACTGGAGTTCTCCTGTTCGGTAGATGCGTGCTATGTGCCGGTCAGAGATCTTCGAACCTCAGTTGTCTGACCTCGAATGATTGTGGAAGTCAGACAAGATGGTACATGAAAACCCATGCTGTATTAGCACACGTTTCTCTTTGAAGTGGTGAGTGGCCTGCATCCATGACCAAGAGCAAGTTCTTTTGCCGCCAGTCGGGAGTGTGGGTGCCCTCCCGCCCCCACCCTCCCACCTGGTGGTGGTACCTCTTCTCTGTTCCTCTGCTGCTGTCCGAGGGGCCAAACAGGTGACAGGGTAGAGGTTGCAGGACGTTAGAGCAGAGAGAGCCCCCTCTGTACACCCCTGTCATCCAAGAGACAGAAGGCCTCGCAGACCAATAAAGACCAAGGTCTCAGCTGAGGGCTCGGGAAGGGGTCTTGCTTCTTCTGAAAGAGGGAGCTCCAGCTGGCCTGGGGCCAAGAGGACAGACCCCAGAGGAGGGGTCAGGAGTCACGGACAGCTGTCTGCAGCCAGCATCTCTCACGTGCCCTCTGCCCTGTGTGGTTGGTTGCCGCTCGTTTTGATCCGTGGAGAACCCAAATCCCAGCCTTCCCTACAGCAGGGGCCGTGAGGCCTATGGGGAGACCCTGCCCTGGGACCTGAGAACCTGAATCTACACTTTGTTCTTTTGCGCATTAGCCCTGCCACCGTCTCGAAGTCTCTCGACCATTTGGGGATCCTCAGTGTCCTCTTTTGTAAACTGGGGAAAATAGGAAAGTTCTGTGCAGCCTGGACAAATCTGAGTTACAACTGATTCCTTTCTCAGCTATTGGCTAGATGGGGTGTGGTTCATGGCGCAGCCTGGGAGAAGGCCAAGAAGCCACTTGATGACTGAACTCTGTCTCACCTTTAAATTCTCATCCTGCTCCGACAAATGGTGTGGTAAAATCCAGGGGCCCGCCATGATGGGAGGTTACCCGTGGTGCTCTGCTGTTCTACCTGACTCCAAAAGAGGATTTTTTTTGGTCACTTGGGACCTGCTTCTTCAGTGAAAAAGCATTGCATTAATTTTGCCTTCTCTTCTCAGTATCCAGCGAGCAGCATTGGTGGTTCTGGAAAATTACTATAAAGATTTCACCATCTATAACCCCAATCTCCTAACAGCCTCCAAATTCCGAGCAGCCAAGCACATGGCCGGGCTGAAAGTCTACAATGTAGATGGTACGTGCCTTGAAATGGTGTCTCTGGTTGGTGGGTGTGGGGGGGCACAGTTCGGGGCAGCTCTTTAGCTTAAACTTTATGGTCCATTTGGTTCTTCTTCCCCTCAGTGTCCATCTTTATCGTACATTCTGAATTCAGAACAACTCTTCTCTTCTCTTCCTTTTTCTTTCTTTTCTTTCTTTTTTTTTTAAGGTTTTATTTATTTATTTGACAGAGAGAGAGAGACACAGTGAGAGAGGGAACACGAGCAGGGGGAGTGGGAGAGGGAGAAGCAGGCCTCCCGCTGAGCAGGGAGCCGGACATGGGGCTCGATCCCAGGACGCTGGGATCATGACCTGAGCCGAAGGCAGACGCTTAACGACTGAGCCACCCAGGCACCCCCCCTTCTTTCTTTCTTTCTTTTCTTTCTTTTTCTTTCTTTCTTTCTTTCTTTCTTTCTTTCTTTCTTTCTTTCTTTCTTTCTTTCTTTCTTTCTTTCTTTCTTTTTCTTTCTTTCTTTCTTTTTCTTTCTTCCTCTTTCTTTCAGCAAACATACTTTCAGAAGAATGTTGATTTACAGTCTACACATGTGGGAGGTTCATTTATTTTGGAATTTTCTAATTGAAAACAATAGTGATGTGTGTTTCCTGCCTCCTGCTGGGAACATCTATGGAAAGCTGCTTTTCAAATTTTGGATAAGTTACTCAAAGACTCAGCTCCCCAGATCCATGAAGTCAGTAACTCTCAGTAGTTCAGGCATCTGGTGAGATACTTAAAGAGATTTCTCAGTCCTGGCTAGGACCTGGGGCTGAGTGGGTGGCAGGAGGCCAGAGGCCAGGCTGAGGACGTCAGAGCTGCGTTTCAGGCTATCAGATAGTTAAGTGCAAGGAACAAGACACAGTGTCATTTCTTGCTGGATGCCTTGGGTCAGGGCAAGAGCTTTGTGGACCCTCGAAGAGGATCATATTGTTAGCAAGTCAAGTGATTTATGGATGGTGTCAATTTTTCATGGCCATATCCTCCCCATTTTGGCGGGGGCGGACAGGGGGTACACTTTATGAGATGTGCGCTCAGTTGGGATTCCCGGAGGATTGGTAAATTTTACCTGTGATCTGAAAACTTAATGAAAATTCCCACTAGCGAAACCAAGTCATTAACCAAGGAGTTGATACAGAAGAAAGCATGTGATCTGCCTTGTCCTTCTGAAAAGTTAAGGCAATCTGTGGTCAGGGGAACAGAGTGGGGAGTTCTAAGTCTGCATTTCACAAACGGGCCATATCGCAAGTCCTCAAGTTTGTTTTTTTTTTTTTATTTTTTTAAGTGTTGTGACTACCATGACATTCCAGCATGGCTTGTTGTCCTGTGCATAATCAGTGTCTCCTTACCCCTTGACTTTCTTTTTTCTCTGTCCTTGTTGTGCCCATCCCTCTCATTCTCTCTCATTGTCTTGTTGCTGAAATGTGATGCTCCAGCTACCCTTATGGCCAAACTGAAACTTGATGTAACAGATGGTGAGTAATATCTCCAGCATTCTCTTTGTGTGTTATTTTTGGCCAACATTTTCATTGTCCGGCATTCTTCATCTTCTTCTGCATTCTTTTTCCATTTCCACTGATCAGATTGGGTTTGGGGGAGATTTCCTTTCTCTCCTGAGCATAGCGAATGTGAGGCAGGAGTGCTGTTCACCCTTCTGGAAGTTTCTTTTGAGATTGGTCAATATGCTTCTCAGGGGGTGGGTAGACGGTATTGACAGACCGTGGTACTCGTTTCCCGCTCTGTTTTGCAGCCCCATGGCATTAAAACTATTCTTCCTCCACTGTCCTTCCCTGAAGGCCCCAGTAACAATGCCACTGGTCAGTCCCGGGCCATGATCGCTGCAGCTGCTCGGCGCAGAGACTCAAGCCACAACGAGTTGTATTATGAAGAGGCAGAGCACGAGCGGCGGGTGAAGAAGCGGAGAGCGAGGTCTGTTGCCCCCCCGCCCTGACACTTAACACCCTGTCATAGCGGACTTTCTCCTTTTTTAATTTTTTCTTTAACCGCTAGAATGAAATCTGAGTGTATAAATGTGAGCCGCTCAAGCCTCAGGAGTGTATCCTGCTCCATTGTTTCTCATGCACCAGCGTGACCAGGAAGGCTTATTAAAGCGCAGATCTGAGGTTCTGGGCCCCACCTGCAAAAGTGACTTACTCACCTGGAGTTGGGCCTCAGAATTTGCATGTCTTCCAAATTCCCAGTTGATGCTAAAGCTGTTGGCCCACGGCCCATGCTGGATCGAGGGGGATGCAGCTCTGCTTCTGTAGCACCAGCCCCCTCTCAGTGCGTGCAGAGCCTTTTGTGGCCAGATTTTGAGGAATCTTCGAGCTCTTTTCATCTAAGCCTTCGTTGTAGAGATAGAAGGATTGAAGTGAGTCCGCCAAGCTCCTTAGTGGCAGAATTGAGAACAGAAGTCAAGCTCCTAGTCCCAGGGCTCCTTCCCCCTCACCCCTGTAGCCCCCCTGCCTTCCTTTCTCCCTCCCCCACCTCCCCTCAGCCCAGCCATCTGGAGTGACCGCTACGGAGGTGAGCCTTGGGTGAACTGGCGACAGGCTGGGACACAGAGGCGGGCAGGAGGCCTCGCAGGCCCTGAATGACCACGCTGTTGTCCAGCCTGGCAGCAGCCACCATCCTGATGACCATCTCATTGCCCACCCCTCCCCCCCGCCAGGCTGGTGGTTGCAGTGGAGGAAGCCTTCATCCACATCCAGCGCCTCCAGGCCGAAGAGCAGCAGAAAGCTCCAGGGGAGGTGATGGATCCGCGGGAGGCGGCGCAGGCCATCTTCCCCTCCATGGCCCGGGCTCTGCAGAAGTACCTGCGCACCACGCGGCAGCAGCATTACCACAGCATGGAGAGCATCCTGCAGCACCTGGCCTTCTGCATCACCAACAGCATGACCCCCAAGGTGCGGCCCGGCACCGAGCTCGGCAGGCCCTGTTTGCAGCTGTACCCAGGCGTGATGGACTCAAAGGCTCTCTAAAGCCCCGACTCACGAGAATTACCAGTTCCCACTTACTTTATATGATTTTGGTGCGGTTGTTTTTTGAAATTGCTTTTCGAGAGCCTCTAGCTTCAAGCAGAGGAAAGACTTTCACAGTAGAGGTAGCAGTTAGGGGCACTCTGGGCTCTGGAGCTGTGCTGATGCATATTCCAGCCTGGCTCCTCCCCCAACGAGCTGGTCACCTCGGGCACATCGCTTAATGGCTCTGTGCCTCACTTTCCTACTCTGTAAATGGCGGCTTGCTGTAATACCTACCTCATTGAGTTGTGGCGGGAACTAAAACAGTTCATGTGAAGTGCTTAAAACAGTGCCTGCCATATGGTTATGTCTGAGTAAATGGCTGTTCTTAGTGGCAGAAAGGATACCATCACCCCGTTAGGCATTTTGGACTTCATGGGTTAGTCTTACTTGAGTGGTCTCTTGAATTACAATATGAGCACACTTCAGGGAGATTGCAGGAAACAGCCATGTAGCTAAGAGAGGGGTGGGGCCGAGGAGGCAGAGTAGAGTGAGGGTTAGCAAATGACCTGTCATCACACAGAGGGGTCTTCAGATCCTGGCTCCACCAGTTGATTAGGTTGTGACTTTGTAGAGGTCAGGCTATATTTGTTTTCTCTTTTATAAAATGGGGATAATCGTAGCATCTCCCTGATAGGGTTGTTACATGAAAATTATATTCAGTATGGCAACATGACATGTGGATCACATGGCAGGGAGTAAACGAGCTTGGCGGGTAGTGCACGTGGAGTGGCTTTTGGTATAAGGACCCATGTTCCTGTGCTGCCCTGTACGCGTACAGCATATGGTTGTGTTGTCTCCAGTAACAGCCCTTAGGAGAGCAATACAGAAACACTCACTTGGAATCCGTAAAGGTTTCCATATGCTTTGGCTCACTAATCCCTCTCCTAGAATCAGATACATGCACAAATAATACCAAAGGTGATTTTTGCAAAGTAATCTGGGATAACTGCAAACTGGACATAACTTAAAAATAGAACAGTGGCTTATAAATTAGGGTATATCACCTATTAAAAGTAGAAGAATCTTTGTTAGAGTATTAAGTTACAAAAAACAATGCAAAAAAGTATGGAGAGCACGTTGCCAATGAGTACAGTATATCTGCATGTGTGCAGTGGTAGCTCGTACCACATAGAACAGAAGCCATAGTTTTCCTTTTCTCAAGATCTTTTGGTTTCCTGATTGCTTTCATTTTCGTTTAAAAAAACATATACTTTTCTGAATTAAAAGTAATTGATACTTTTTCTTTGTCTAGAAATCTAGGCACTAAAGAAAAATATAATGGGGGCCCCTGGGCGGTGCAGTCGGTTAAGCATCCTTCTCTTGCTTTCGGCTCAGGTCGTGTTCTCAGGGTCATGGGATTGAGCCCCGTGTCAGGCTCCACGCTCAGCACGGAGTCTGCTTGGGATTCTGTCTCTCCCTCTCCCCTTCTCCCCCATGCTCACACACGTGCTCGCTCTCTCAAATAAATAAATGAATCTTTAAACAAAAGCAAAGGAAAAGGAAAATATGTGCAAAGGGAAGTTTCCATTCTCCTCCCCTAAACAGTTCCTGGTGATGAGTTGGTGTGTATGCTTTCAGAGGTGTGTGTGTGTGTTTAAAGCAGAAGTGGAAAAAAAGCAAACCACAAACGGGAGTTCATACCACACACACAACTTGGAAACTTACTTTCTTCACTTAAAACTACCTCTGCACTGTTTTTCCCTGTCAGTACTTCCAGATCTCTGTCATACAGATCTAATTCATTCTCTTTAATAGCTGCATCTCATCCCGCTGAATACCATGATTTGTGTAACCAATGCTTACGATGCACATTTGGATTAACATCTTTCGGTAGTTTAAACCAGGGCTTGGCTGTTTTTGTTAATCAAGTTTTATTGGAACACAACCACACCCTTTTATTTCCATATCATCTATGGCTGCTTTCTCTCTACACAGGCTGAGTTGAGCAGTCATGACAGAATGTGGCTTGTGAAGCTGAAAATGTTTATGTTAGAGAAAAGTTTGCCAACCCCCGGTCTAAACAGTGTTGCAGCGAGTATGTTTTTCACATACATCGTTGTGCATCTGTGCAAGTATTTCCAAAGGAGAAATTTCTGGTAGAGGAACAGCTAGATCAAAGGTATAGAGCCTGCCAAATTGTCCTTCCAAGGGATGTTACTCTTTTAAACACTTCTGCCTCTGGGATACGATTCTGTTTATTTCCCCCACACACTTGACATATTGGGTGTAACCATTCTTTTTACTCATTGCCCACATAAGAGGCAAAAAAAAAAAAAAATTGTTATTTGAATTCATGTTTCTTGAATTATTAATGTGGTAGAGCATCTTTTTGTTATGTTAATTTTCTATTAATATTTATTATCCTATAAATTATCTTATTAATTTCAGTTTCTCATTGCTGAGTTGTTTCTTTTTCTTATGATTCATAAGAGCGATTTTTGTATTAGAATTGTGTTTAGGCATGGCTCTGCTTTCTGCCTTAAGATCTTTTCGTTTCCTGGTTGCTTTCATTTTCGTTTAAAAAAATGTATATATGCTTACAGATAGAATATGTGCTTACAGAGCAGAAATCATGTAGTTGGCGGCAGCAGTGAGGTGTGGATGGAAGGGGATACCTCGTAGAAACTGGCCTTGACCTGTGTCTAGGACCAGAGTGACAGATCCCAATATATCCTGTCTGAATCACTGGCTCCCACTTTCTTCCCTTTTCTTACAGCTAAGTCAGCGTATTTATTGATTTAATGCACACGCCATTGAGCTCCTATTATGTCCAGGCACATTGGAAATTCAGATTTAAAAAATAGTTCCTGCCCTCCAGGGGGTTAAATTCCAGTGCAGGGGACCGACCTGCATGTCCACAGCGATCGTTACAAAAGTAAAGGTCACCCGGGAGTCAGGCCAGTGATGATAAGCACTCAGAGGAGGGTGTGTTAATCTGCCCAGAGGTTCAGGGGGTGGTCTGAGGAGAATTGAAGGCCCAGGAGGAATAATGCATGTGGGCGCCGTGAGTGGGTGGGGCGTCCAAGACCTCCCACAAGCTAAGCACTGCAGGAGCAGGGGACTTGTGAGAGGGATGGGGATGTGGGCTCTGGCATCCCTCGGACCTGCCCTGTGCCCACTTGATCCCACAGGAAATCACCATTGCCCACACTGGTTGGGCTGGGCTTACCTTGTGCCAGTAGATGGTTAGAGGCAGCCGTGTCATCCTCGCCTCGGCCCTGTGAGGAGCTCTTACTGTCCCCATTTACAGACCGGACAAATGACTTGTCCAAAGCCACATAGCCCGTGAGTGGCGGAGCATGCATTTTTGTGCGTGCCTGCAAGTATATCCTTTTACTTGTTCAGCTTCTGGTTCCCAAGTGCCTCTCTGTTCCCGGCCCTTGCCCTGAGAAGCTTTTGGTGCGGGAGCAAGCAGGCCTAGCACAGGTACAAGTGGTGACGTGCTGTGCGGCCATGCCGTGGCTGGGCTAGTGCCTCGGCAGTGGCCTCTGGGCAGACAGAGGTGCCAGGCACCCCACCTGCCCCCGCCTCTGGTTGGAAGTTGGCAGAGGGGAGTGAGAAAGTCCAAGGAGGCTTCCCTCCCCAACAAGGACTCCGTTGGGAGGGTCTGCTGGGAATACGGCCTGATTAGCTCTGTCTTGGTTTGTTGGGAAACATTTTCATCCGTATAAGATGGGTGTGCCCCTGACATCACTGCCCTTAGCACGGGGTATTTCTTCTCTTATGGCCTTTGTCCTCCTTTTTCAGGCCTTTCTAGAACGTTACCTCAGCGCGGGCCCTACCCTGCAGTATGACAAGGAGCGCTGGCTCTCTACGCAGTGGAGACTGGTTAGTGATGAGGCTGTGACTAACGGATTGCGGGATGGAATCGTTTTCGTCCTGAAATGCTTGGACTTCAGCCTCGTGGTCAATGTGAAGAAAATTCCATTCATCATCCTCTCGGAAGAGTTCATAGACCCCAAATCTCACAAATTTGTCCTTCGCCTACAGTCTGAGACATCGGTTTAAAAGTTTTATATTTGTGGCTTTATTACAAAAAAAAAAAAAAGAATATATAGAGATATATATATATATGTATACCAGAAGGGCATCTTTTTTTATTATTATCCTTCATTGCTGACTGAAACTGGCAGATAATAGACCAGTATCCTTTGACCATCCGCACTTTACTTGGAAGGAAGCAGGGGATGTCCACCCTGGCAAAAAGCGACTGATAACATCTGACTTTTGTGGATGGGACTTCTCATGAAGCCATTCCCTGGCGTTTCTGTGACAGCTGTAAACCAAAGTAGAGCAGGTGGCTCTTGGGAGCCTCGCCTTACGGCAGCTAGTCCCTGCCTTTCGTCCAGGGCCACGCCCTCCTGTTGCTTCTGGCCCGCCCCCTCGTCGACCTCCAGGGGGACGCGTCTTCATTCTGTTCCAGGAAACCAGACACGGCATGTCCACATAGGTGCTTGTGTCCGCGAATGTCCAGTACCACATCACCCACGGGAGCCGCGGGCCCTTCCGCAAATGCCTGCCTTCATCTTTGTTCTTTGTTGCCTTAGGTTCTGCTGAGAGAGGTCACAACAAAAAATGTGCACTAGCAGTTGACAGCTCTAAATGATTTTATTTTGTTTTCTCCCCCAAAGAGAAAACCTACCTGTCCTGTTTCTGACCGTTGGCCTAGGTTTGAGCAGGTGGCCCTTTCCTGACCCTGTGATGGTGCACCCATCTCCCTCCATCCGCCCTCCCCTGCACGCACCACACCCCCACCTGGCTGGTGGTCCTGGCCAGGAAAGCCCAGCCTGCAGAGCTGCCCCGGACCCGGCTCTCCATGTGTGCTCACGGGCTCTGTGCACTGTCTCCCGTGGGTGCCATGGATTGTTTGCATAGGGAAGCATAGCATGCCAACCAGGTCAAACACAGGGACAGCAAGCCTGCCAGATTGTCCCTTTTCGGCTACAGTGGGAGCCCCTCCCCTCCCAGTTCTCCTTCCCACTGCTCACAGGGACCCAGGGCAGGGGGGGTGGGGAGCTGACGCCGCGACTCAGGGACTGGCAGGTGCAGCTTGGAGTCTCTGATTTCCCAGGGAGAGAAGTCCTCACAAACCTTCATGGCCAAGCTGCCCTGCCAAGGGAGACCAAACAGTGCCCACTGCAGGGACAGCTACTGCTGTCTGGTCCCTGATTTCTGACCACCATCACTGTGCAACTCATGACCTCTGCCACTTACTACCAGGGAAGGGACTGCTTTGGCACTGGTGTTGGAAGTCCTTGTAGTTACTGGTAAAGTGGGGGAGAGGGAATGGGTAAGCAGCAGAGCTTGGGGAAAGGAAAGGTAGGGAGCCGATCTTAGGATCCTGGGGGGCAGGTGGCAAGGCTGCGGGGGAGCTCCTGTCTGTGCCTCCACCTGCCTTCCTGTATCCACGGCCAGCCTTTACAGAGTATTCGCCCTTGCTTTTCCCAGGGATCGGGGGTAGCCAATCACCTCGCTTTAGACAAGGAGGACCCTGTCAGAATGCTCTTTGTGTTCGCGAGGACCCTTCCTGGTTTGTGCATTCCAAAAGTGGTGCAGTGTTTGTGTATCGTTTTTTTAAATCCAAATGGGCTTTGGATATTTTTAATACACCTGTACCTGCAAAAGTAAACAGCACTCTTGACCCAACAGCCTGCAGCTCAAAAAGATGTGTTGGAACAGAAGAAAGGAGTCGTCAGTACCAGTCAGTATGGCGTGGAGCCAAGATGCGCTGTGTCACTACGTGGTTCTGTTTGTGGAAAACACATACCATGTAACCATGGTGCTTTTGTTCTTCTTAGTTTTTGAACTGGACATTCCTTATGCTGATGATGTCTTTCTCAGGAAATATATTTTGGGAGATAGGGCAAGGGATGATGAAAGCGTATGGGACTTTGGTTGGGTCACGGTTGTCATGCCCCAGACTAAGTGTCTCAGAGGCTTCTGCATCAGGAGCCCAGCAGCTGGAGATGCTATAAGTACTTCCTGTAGGTCATATGCAGAACATTTTGTTCATGAAGACACTATTCGTCTGCATTCTAAAATACTGTGCTTCCAAACCCTGTCTTAAGTTACCAGGCCAGAAGGGGTTAAGATAGAGTCATTGCCTTGGTGCCTGTGTTCCTCAGCAGGGTGAAGAAAGGTTTAAATTAAGGAATTTATTTTCTCTCTACTCCCTTCTCTTTCCCCCAGTCTTTGCATAGGAGAATGTCAGACTTTCTGGAATTATTGTTTCAGTTTTAAGTTGGATATCGATTTTTTTTACACTGACTTTGTATGGAGTCCCTTTTGAAAGAATAACAAAATAAAATGCAGGATCTTTGTATAAAGCTTTTGCATTTTCAAGATCTTAATAACTTGAGTTACTGGTGCAGTGGGAACAGTGTAAATGGCATTAAAAAGATTTAGGGTTTCAGAAAAAGCTGCATCGCCCGAACACGATGCGTTTTTATTTCAGTCGTTGGAACCAACAGGCCGTTCTTTTTAAAAGAGGGTGAGCTGCCCCAGGGCTAGTAAAATATGTGAGACTTCACAATGGAGGAGGCAAGATCTCATTTGCCTTAAATGTTTATAGATTTTCTATAACTTTCCAACCTAAGTTATTAAAACGTGAATGTTAAATGTTTGGAGTAGAAGACCCTAGTGACGAGCGCATCCCCTGGTGTTGTTTTAACCGGTGGTTAACTTTGGTTCCTCAGTGTATACTTCTGAAGGTGATGATAATTCTTAATCATCCACGAACTGAATGTTAAAACGTCTGTATGCTTAGAGTTGGAAAGAACTTTAAGGTTTTATAGTTTCCCCATCCTTTGCATTTTCAGTGAAGTCAAAACGCATGATACTTTTGCTAAAGTCCATCCTAAGGTAAGCCCTTGAGAAAATGCTTGAGCAGGTTTTTGCCCGGCTGTCATCATCCCCCTTCTCCCTCTCTGTCCTTCCCTTTCAAATCTACCGACAGATCGAATTCTGTTCAGAAGTGGGTGGAGGTATGTGGCCCCCCGGGGGTGTGTGTGCATGCTGCATTGGGGTTCTTTGCTGGAGTTGGAGCTCCTTTTCCGTGGGGAGGTGGTGGCTGGGCTGGTGTTGGCGGCGGGGGGGGGATGAGATGAGGTGTCCCCCTCCCCATTCACCATACTTGCGGCTTCTCTTCATTCTGCATGCATGTATTTCGGAAAGGGCTGTAGCTCTGTGGCAAGCCCCCTGCCTGTCAGGATGGCAGACGTCCTTACCCTGCCCCTCCCCATCCCACCCCCCACCTACACCTGGAGAAGTGTTAGTCACACTGTGAAACCAAGAGAATCGGGTCCTTGGTTCACACTCCCTCTGGCTGGGTCCTGCGACGTCAGGCTCCTTTAACGGGGACGCATACTTGGTGGTGGGTATGCGTTTCCATATATGTGTGCATGGCTGAGTGTAATTACCCCAGGGACGGGACGTTCGTATGTTAGCGATCTGAACATCTGTGTCGTCTGTCGCTGGTGGGTGTCCTGTCAACAGGTTAACTTACGCATGTGTTCGTATGGATGAGTGTCTGTGTTTCTACCCTGTGCCCTATGGTGGAGAGATTTCCTAATGGCCCCCATCTTTTGGAAGGCTGCCAGTTTACTTCTCCCCTGGCTCCTTTATTCCTTTCCCTCCGTGACACTGGCTTCTCCCCAGGAGTAAATGGCTTTAGCATAGAAGAGTCTTCTGGAAAGCTTGACATCCTGCGGGCAATCCATTAGACTCTTTCTTGCCTTAGGACCCTGTGACGTGAAAACAGCAAGAAACAGAAAGGTCAAGCTCTGTGATAATTACTGCTCCAACTTTATTTACTACCCTGGAAGCCTTACTATATATTTCTCAGTATAACTTAAAAATTGAGCTTCATAAAAAAACATAACACTGATGACTAAAAGTAGCACAGAAATGTTAACGTAATATTTAAGTAGTCCAGCAGAGATCCTTCCTGCGATTGTAAAGTGATGTAAGTATTTCTGGTAGCGTTTATGCTTTATGGATCTTGTTACAAGAAAATAATAATCACTACTGTGAATTTACTATGTAACCTTGTGGTCATATTCCATCATAAATAAAAGATGAATTGTTCTGAAGCCCATATTACAGTCCTTGAATGGTATTCAGTGCAGTAGTGAACCGAGGTAGTTTAGACACTACCGTGAAGTTGCCATTTTGCACTTTATCCAAGTGGATGCTGAGACAATTAGATTGCAGGTCAGGGTATTCTGGTCAAATGAGGAAGAGAAGGGTACCAATACACATTTACCCAGCATTGTGTGTTTGGGTGCTGTTCTAGAACGGGAAGTCCTATGGGGCAGGGTACTCTCAATTGAACAGGTGAGAAAGACGACGATCAGAGAGGGAGGGACTTGTCCCAGGTCTCAGGGCTAGTGAATGGGATTTCAGATCTAACGTCTGATTTCAGCCCCTCGCTCACTGTACCCTCAGGTGCGATCTGAATGATCTGGCATTTTGGAACGTGCAGAAGGAATGTGAGGACACTTAACCTGGACTCAGAACCTGGGGTGAGGGTTCCTCCGAGGTGGTGGTGGGGTCCCTTCTGGCCTTGCATTTTGCACCAGAGCTGTGGCCCCTGGGGAACCTCTCCATTGTGCAGGCGGATTTCTCGGGATTTCTAATGGAAAGAACTTGAGAATGCCCCTCCCCCAGAAAACCAGCCCCGCCAGCACCACCACACCTGCTGATAGACCCAGGGGCTGTGGTTTGGCAGGCATCCTTTGCTTTTGCCCGTCTGGCCCTCTGCCCCACCCCTGCTGGCTTGGGCAGGCGGGCATCTCAGGCCTTGGGCGCAGGGAGCTGGCCAGGGACGGACCTGGCCTCTTCCGAAGCTGAGGAAGCCTCTTGCTGGTGCTCTGCTTCCCCGGTTAGGGTGGGAGAGGGACCATCTGCAGGCCCAGCCCCGGGGGGTCTGGAACGGGGGTCCCCTGGCCTCCCTCCTTGACCTGTGTGTTCTCAGCAAGCACTTGCATCCCATTGTTTCCCCCCACATTTGCCCTCATGAGTCTTAACAGAACAGACATAAAACAGAAGCCTGAAAACACGGACTTCCTCTCCTCCGAGGTCTTTAAAGTTTTGTTCTGTTGTGCACAAACTACCTTTTTCTCTCTGCTGTTCACTTTCTGTGGAGCACAGGAAAACGGAGATGATACATCTCTCAGCATGGCTCCTCATTTGGAATCAGGACAGATTTTCAAAGGGTAGAAAAGAAATGATAAATAAAATAGAATCTGGGGACTCTGTGAATCTCCCTTGCCAGGCCCTGTCCCATTTCTACTTAGACAACCCAACTTGCTTTGTTTCACCTGTAAAATAAATCTCTTGAATGGGTTGTTTTCGAGTCCCCCCAATATAACAACAGATCTCTAACATCTGAAGCAGTACCGTGAAAGGTCGCTTCAAATATGACACTAAGAATCTACAATTTATATGTCTCACAGCTTGAAAACACCAATGTTCTGTCTTAGTGGGAT